TTTGTCTGTGGGCCTTTCTGTCTGAAGTTTAGTCTTCAACAAGTAAAATGCTCAGCTGGCTTAAGATATGGTGGCTGACCGGGCCATTCAAGAATATTCCACTTGTTTGCTTGAATAAACTCCTGGGTTGCTTTGGGTGTAGGTTTTGGTTAATTGTCAATCTGTATTATTAAAAACCGCCCATTTAATTTGACTGTATTTAGCTGGATTTGAACAGACAGTATGTCTCTGACCTCAGAATTAATTCAGCTTCTTCTGTCCTGTGTCACATCATCATTAAACACTAGTGTCCCAGTGCCTACGGCAGCTATGCATACCCAAACCATCACACTGCCTCCATCGTGTATTACAGATGTTGTGGCATGCTTTGGATCATGAGCTGTTCCACGCCTTCTGCATGCGTTTTTCTTGCCATCATTCTGGTTAAACTTGGTTTCATTTGTCCAAAGAATATTTTTCCAGGACTGTGTTTGTTTGGTTTTTTTGAGCCTTTCTATTCTTGAGTCTTATGAGTGGCTTGGACCTTGCAGTGAACCATTTGCATTTACTTTCATTCAGTCTTCTCTTTATGGTAGACGGTGTTGTTCAGTTGGTTGGATGTTGTGAGGTCATGACCTCACAGCCCACTGCCCAGTTTCAGTCATTGTGCAAATGTACTGTTTATAAGATTGGGGGAACCTGCAGCCAGCTGAGAGTGAAGAAGTCACTTGGATAAGTGACAAAATGTTTCTTCCACTGAAAACACTATGTCCAGGTGAACAGAATCCCCTTTTTGGGATTGCCTTACCTGGATGATTGAGCATGCATCAAGACATGAAATGAAGGGGTTTCTCTTCCCCATGGAAATGATTCTGTGATCATCCACCACCGTTGTCTTCTGTGGACCTCCAGGTCCAGGTTGTGCTGAGTTCACGAGTGCTTTCTATCTTTCTCAGGATGTACCAAACTGTAGTTTTTGCCACTCCTGATATTGTAGCAATTGTTTTTTTCTTCTGTTTTTTCAGCTTAAGGATGGCTTGTTGCACCTGCATAAAGAGCCGCACCTTGTTTGTTCGCAGCAAAATCGTCAAAATGCAAGCACCACACCTCAAATGATCTCGAGGCCTTTTCTCTGCTTAACTGACAATGACATAACAAAGGAATTGCCCACATCTGCCCATCAAGTAGCCTTTGAGTCAACTGTCCAATTACTTTTGTAATGTGTATACCCTCAAATGAAAGCTGAGAGTCTACATTTATGTCTGTTATATAACTATAATTGTAACATGTTTCAGTTAATGGGTAAAAAAACAAAAAAAAAAAACAAACTTGTGCCAGTGTCCAAATATATGGACCTAACTGTACCTGCGGTCTGTAACAGCCCCAAGCCTGTTGTCAGTATTGGTTGTTGGGCCTGTGCATACATGATTTAGGTTGATAAAGATATACCAGCAGCATCCATGGTTCCGATAAGCTTACTAGCAGAGAAATATCAGTAAAGAGCTTTTAGAAATATAATTAAGCAGCAATAACTTTAAGCGATCCTTTTAATCAGTTTCTCACGTTGAAGTGGAGCAATTTTGCTTCACTCTTCTTAGTGCACTGAGGTTTGTGAGGATTTATTTATGCACAGGATTCTTAAGATCCTGCCACTCTTACAGTTTTCAGAAATGTGCTGATGTGCTCTGATCATTGACCTAGTTTTGATCTAAGCTTTAGCTGTGGGACAGATGGCCTCACATTTGAATCTTGAATACTCTGGTTTATGGAGGAGTTTATAGTTTACTCTGTTCGGCTGCTTAGACATCTCAGCTGTGTTCTTGGAGTCTTGGAGTTTGTTCAGAAACAACTTTGCAAACGTAAGCTGAGCGTTTCTGTTCTTTTTAGAAAGAAGAGGCTTTCTTCAGGCAACCCTTCTGCACAAACCCCACATGTTCATTCTTTTTCTAATTTTGCTGTCATGAACTTAATCATTTAACATAAGGCCTGTAGAGTCTGAGATGTAGCTCTTGGGTTTGTTGCAGTTTATCTGAGGTTACATGGTCTGACCTGGGATGTCCACTGGTGGGGTAACTGTGGCACTGTGTTAACACACCTGAATGCACCAGGTCAGCAAACTGCCAAAACCTTTGCTTTTATACAGGCACTCTCCTTTGCTGATAATCCGCTAGACTGGTGCTTGTTTATTCTTGTGGAACCTTCATTCTCACATGACTGCCTGTTTAACCATCTCTTCACTTTTTGTTCCTTGCAGTAACTGATGAAGCATCAGTTGAAGAATTAAGATCAGTGGGAGATGAAACTTCATGATGAGCACAAAGAAGCTTCAGATGTTGTAAATATTCTTCTTACTGTTTGCTCCAGCAGAGAGAGATCATCCCCATCCTCAGCAAGCTCGCTGAGCTTCTTCAGTAGATCACGACGGGTCGACTCAGGAAGATCTGCCAGCGGCTGCAGTAGAGCTTCCTTCATCTCTAGTTCTGCAGCAAACAAAGAAACAGCAGCAACTAGCTGACCACACTGTCAGTACATGAAAACAGAGTTTGTGCTGGAACCAGCAGTTTGTTAAACAGCAGGTCTTAAATCTCTAAAGATAACAAACTGATTATTTCAGAACTGTGAAGAGCTCAGCAGATTTAAACACACACTTGCCTTCTTTTACTTTTTTCACAGTTGGATTGCTTACGTCGTCACCAAGGAGCCAATCTGGAAACAGATCTCAAAATGATTATCACCAGAAAATCTGAAAGTCTTTACTCTTACAAAACTGAACCACAGACAAACACACATTTTACAATAAAAGTCTGGACAGACTGACTCTTTGTTTATTCTTAGTTTTTTTTTTCCTACTGATATTCAACTGATAACTACACTTTATTGCCAAAAGTCACTTGTCTGACATGACACGCATGTGACATCCCATTGTTAATCCATCGGGTTTATTATGATGTCGACTCACCCTTTACAGATAAAAAAAGCTCTCAACTCTTCTACTCTTCTAAGCCTTTCAACAGGTTTAAAAGTGTTTATGGGAATTTTTGCCCATTCTTCCAGAAGCACATTTGTGAAGTCAGACACTGGTTTTCAATAAGAACGTCTGACACACAGACTCTGCTCTAATTCTTCCAAAATGTTTTCTATCGTGTTGACGTCAGAACTCTGTGCAGGCCAGTCAAGTTCTTCCATACCGGACTAACTGATCCATGTCTTTATGGACCTACTGTGCGCATTTATGTTGGAACGGGAGGGGGCTGTCCCCAAACTATTTCTACAAAGTTGGTAGTAGGAAGTTTTCCAAGATGTCTTGTTATGTTGACACATTAACACTTCCTTTCACTGGAACTAAGGTGCCAGGCCCTGCTGCTGAAAAACAGCCGAATACCATAATACTCGCTCCATCAAACTTTATACTAAGCACAATGCATCCAGAGAAGTTCTTGACAGTATTTTTAATTTCTTCTTCTTCAATAACAGCATTCAAGCAATTTTTCCACACTAGCTACCTCCTGCTGGAACGCCAAAAAAGACCTCTAGGTAACATTCAAAAAGACACTGAAAGACAGTCAGTTGGTTTTCAACATTAAAATGTTTGCTGGTTATTTCCTGCAAATTGTATCTGCAGAAAGTAAAACTCTGAAGGTAGAGACTCCGTGTAGAGAGCTCTCTCTCGTGGGATAATGATACGTGAGCACCTTTGTGTCTGTCTGTGAAGTTTTTTGGCTATTCATAATTATTTTTGGTGTGGAACCTAAAAAAAACAACCCAAAAAAACAAAGCTCATAGTCCATTGAGGATGACACTAAGCATAGGTCTAATCGTGGTTGGTTGAAATGTTGAAATGTTCACCTGAACAGGAAAAGGAGGGATTTATGACAAAGAGAGAAACAGCATAAGGACTTCTTTTTTTTTTACTGATGTAAGCATTTCGATTTGGAAAGTGTCTGATTTTAACTCTGATGCTGAATAAATAAACTCTGAATAAACTCAGCAGTCTAAAGTGAAAGCTCGATGCTCCTTCGTCTTTGGTTTACAGTTTGATACAGATGTTTTTCTCTTAGTAACATTGAGCCTGTGAGTGCGACTGTGAATACAAATATGACATCAAAAAGTTTTTTTCAAATTTGCAAAAGAAGAAAAGTTCAGACCACCCAGTGACCTACCGAGTAAACTACGAGTCCATGGCTCACATGAGATCTCTAAATGAGAGAAAAAGAGAAAGACTACTCAGTGACACCGACACACACAGACACATTAAACACAGTGTTGTGCTCTTACTCAGTTCCTCATTCTCTATCTTTATCTCCACCAGGCTATAAGCAAAGATTGATTTTGCTGGCACAGTGAAGCTTGTCTCCGCTTTACCGCTCCCCTGAAGAAATACAATATTATTATTATTATTTAGACCAATAATACATCTGTACAATCACAACGAGAGGGAGATAAGGTCAGAGACTCTTTACTATGACTTTGAGAGTTCTGGAGCTGCTGACGGCAACAGATCCACAGCAGGCAACCCCACACAAACCACAGATATACTCAGAGAACTGGAGTTGTAGTAAGTAACAACTATTTTGACTATTTGCAAATGATTTCTCCTTCTGCTCAGTGTTTATTGGCGGTTGACAAACAACGTATTGGTGCATTACCCCCATCAAGTTGTATCGAGTGTGCACCAAAATGTCACTTAAAGATTAGATCCGATCATACAAATTCATTTAGCAAAGACAACTAAACATTGCCTGATAACTGTTACTTCTAGAAATATTTCTCAGTAAATCAATCAACTCTAGTTTCAGTTTAATTCTGTTTAGGTTTTGAATCAGTGGTCTCATTTTAAAATCGTTTCTATATGTTCAGTGTTCCCACATGGTCACTTTAACAGTAGAAAGTTGTATTTATCGCTCTTTGTCACTCATGCCTATGTCACTCTTTTACTGCACTGTTTACTACCTGCACTGTTCTCACATGCCACCAAACCTGCAGGTTAAAGCTTGTTTAATGTCCAGTCACAGTGAGCTGTGTCTTCTTACAATCAGCTCCACCAGAAATTATCTGGAGTTCAGACCTGCAGTGCCACCCAGGATAAATAACACCTCCAGCCACGGTTTAAGTTCAGTGCCAGGCTTTAAGCCTCGTTTAGTCTGCATTTCTTCACTGAGCCTGAAGGAAGCATGGGGTGACAGAATAAGTGTCCAACCCTCTTTACACACGAGACATGGATAAAGGCTTCAAACACTATGTCTGTAAATAAACCAAAAACATTGGCATATTATGCACTGATTATAACAGTCAGAGAAGTCTGCTGTTCGTGGTTGTTGGATTTCAAATAAACTACCTTAGTGCCCCACCTAGCAGGTTTGTCTCCTTACAGTGGCCCTGAAATGACTCCTACAAGGTCTTGGTTTGCCCTAAAACAGTCTATGGGTTCCTGTATGTGAAGATCAGAAACAGATACTCTTGTCCCTGCAGACCGCTGAATTCACTCACTCACCTTTGCAAAGACACTCAGCATCTTTACATAAGAAGTGAAAATGGAGCCATCAGTCGTAGACTTTCTAATAATTTTGACAGGGCTGGAGTTGTAAACTATTTGAGAGACAAACATCAGTTTATCCTTCTCTTTCAGTCCCAGCAGGTCCAAGGTATCCTTGTGTATTTTCCTGGATTTAAAAGGATCCAACACAGAGGAAAAATTGGCTTTTATTTTGAAAATACACAAATAAATAAATAAGCAAAGAGACAAACGTACCTGCCCTTGAATCTGCTCACCACAGTTTTAACATTGGCCTTCTTTGTCATCATGTTGACGGGCTGAACCAGTCCATCCACAGAACTAGTGCTGGCATTAATATAAGCTTCACCCACATTCCTGCATTCTCCACCTATACCTCCACTCCCACTCTTCTCTGTAGTGTTCTTAAAGTCATCTACCAAGACTTCCTCGGTGTAATCTGGCAGGAGAATGGAGCATCATTTTTTTATACTCGGTTTCATTTTTTTCTGTTTCATACGAGGTCAGCATGCTGTCATGCAGGTCAGCTCAGTGAGGGTGAACTGTTTAGGAGACACAGGTTCATGAGTGGCAGGGTTAGTGGGCTTAGAAACCTTTTATTCAAGGCTTTACAGCGCTGGGTCTTTTTTTACTGTGCATAATCAAGATCTGGAAATGTGTGTTTTCACTTTACATTCTGAGGGGCTGTGGCTTTGGCTTCTTTTGGCCAATTTGCATGATTGACATCTCTTTTGAATTGTTTCAGCCAAATGAATCACAGTAATGTGGCATTGTTCATGTCAGTTCCACCAATTAGAAATTACAAGGTGAAAAATACACATCACCCTAAATTACGACACTTGCCCTGTAACAATCAAATGTCTGTAACTGGGCAGAAAATGGTGCTTTTTAACGGAAACGGCTCTGAGGCATTGTGGAAGATGGAGTAAGGAAGGAAACATTCTGTAATGCCAAATGGATGTTTACACATTGGAAACAACGAGCACGGTAAGCCCATTTTTCATGTTATTGATTGTCGATTATCAAAAATATTATGATCTTCTTTTGTGGCTGGTTGTCTTCATGGTCAACCCTGATTATAAGAAATATTAGCATAGTATATTTTTTTCAGATGTGTAGATTAAATCCTGTTTCAAATTGATTTAAACTTTCTTCAGAATTGCAGATGCAGCATTTTTCCTCATGATGGCGCCGGTAAGTCTCTGG